CACTGTGTATCCTACGGCGTGCACAATTAATTTCATCTTTCTCGCGCTGAACGAGGGCGTCAGGATGTCGCGCACCTGCTTCCATGTCTCGTCGCGCGCGGAGAACACGGCTGAGCTTATCGGCTGTGGAGATGTTGGAATCATTGGGTTGTTCAATTACGACTAAAGATGGCATCTTACGAAGGGAAACTATGAAGACGTTACTGTATTTCTTACATACTCGCAAACCCTGAGAATACCGTAGACAAACAGCTGAAAAAAATGTAAAATTTGAGAGTAGTTAACGAATAAATGTTTTCGTCACGATTGACTAGATTCTTGCAAATATTTATCTCTCAAGATTCCAAAAGTCATTAGCTACGCCAATTAGCACTTTTGCATAAAATCTCGGAAGATTCCTACTGAAATGAAGTGGCCAAAGCGGAAAGAATGTTCAGCTAGTATAGGCTTGCACGGCTGTTTATGTTCGACTGCTTTCCAGTGTTCCTTCAGTCGAGAAGCAATTTTGTGTGTGAACTCACGAATTTAGCCCAGGCCATCACAATCTTGACAGGAATTTGAATCAATATCAATATAGTCTGACCTTTTAGGAGATGATTTCATCAAATACATTTTTACTTTAATTGTGTTTGTTACAGTGACGCGGTATGTCTCGCTTGGTCGACAGAGCTGGTAGAATTTGTGGTAAATGGCAAAATCTCGGGGCAAGGTGCTTTAAGTACGAATCATTACCCCTTTTTGCGACCAAGTTTTAGCCAGAGCCACCGTGTAACAAGTTGCAGTGAAGAAAGAAGGTAGAAGGGACAGTTTCTGTTTTAATTTTTCCACAGGCTCTAATCTGCACTCTTAGTAGATCTCTTGACGATCCAGATGATAAGGTACCACTTCGTACCTTGCAGACGACGTCATATTCAAATGTTAATGAAGAACCTCACTCACACTTACGTCGATCGATTCTTTCTATTCTTTTAATTCAACCTGCAATTTAATGCGAAAATCAGATCAATCTGTCTGGCAATATTCTGCGAATGACGTTTATGTACGGTATGAAACGGGAAAAACGCTGCACAAGCGTATGTGACTGTTATATCTGACATGACAGTGTGACAAATTTCATTGGAAAGATTATAGATCACGCGTTTCTTTGTGCTCTTTTCTCTTCTCTTTTATGCTCTTTGACGCAAATAGTAACCGCCCAGAAAATTACAGTGTTCCCAATTTTAAACAGGAAAAAACCAAATGTCTTCTCCGTGTAATTTTTGCAATGTCATTCATGCAGTGTTACTCTTGTATCCCAAAACATAAATAGCAATGCTATTGATAACAAATATCGATGACCCCTTTCAACCCGATGACGACGTCAGATGTAAGAAACAATAGAATGTTCGTTTCCCAAAACAAATCATGCAGACTGACTGCGCAGACTCACCTTATCGTTGGGCAATTCGCGGACTTCACGGTCAATTTACATAAATTGCGATTTCAAAAGCTATTGTAATTGTAACTCACTTAGTTGCTCCAGTGCACGCAACTCGGTTTCTGGTCGTCGCAGCCTATGAGGTGAGTTGAAGCTATTATCAGCTAGAGACCGTGATTCCTTTTTATTTACTGCAAATGAACTGTGGCATGACTGCAATGATGTGAAATTCAGTGTTCGTGATGTCGACTCTTTCTGTAAACAAAGGAACAATACAGATTTAGCCGAGTTCCCCTTCTCTTACTCTAGACTCACTAAAACACTGCAGCATTCAACACAAAGAGAACCTGAACGATGAACGTCCTTCAACAAGTTCTTCCAATGGAGGAATTCGCTCATCCTGCCAGCATCGTCTCTATTTCGTTCCTTGCAGTTTTGTTTCTTTACTGGTATGGAACGCGTGGCTTTGCAAACCTCAAGAAGCTAAATGTTCCTGGTCCCAAACCTCTTCCGTTTATCGGCAACTTTCTCGAAGCGAGAAAATACGAGGGGATACAACTCATGCATCTTGACTACGTGAAAAAGTACGGCAAAGTGTTCGCGATCTGTTTGGGCGAAAAACCGTCACTGGTCGTTGCAGATCCGGAGTTACTCAAACAGATTATGATCAAGGATTTTGCAAACTTCCGTAATCACTTTCAATTCATAAAGCCAACTCCTGCGTTCAGCAAAAACGTTTTCAATGCAAGAGATGACACATGGAAGAGAATCCGTAACACCCTGACCCCTACATTTAGTGCTGGGAAGATGAAATTGATGGTGCCGTTGATCGAGACGTCGTGCGATACGCTTATGGAAAAACTTGAGAAAATTGCTGATTCAGGTGAGAGACGGAGTATTGCAGAAATTGTACGGAAATTCTCCTCAATCACGAGCTGGTTAACCGAGATAAAATCTACAATTATTGGCAAAAACCGAGGATCTTAGGAAACGACAAATGGTAGGAGATTTCGACAGTGTTAGATAACAAAATAAAGTCGTCAAAGCCCAGCAGCCTGACGTCACGAAAGCTAGCACGCAATCCTTATCACTACGAAACGTCATCTCACTGTAGAAAATACATTTAATTATTGCATCAAAAGTTTAAAATGATTGTCGGTCTACAACTGATACGGCCCAGAAAACTTCAACAGCGTGAAAAATTCG